TGAAGAGAAGAAAAGGATCTGCTGAGATCATCAGAAAGCCCACCACTGAAAGCAATCAAAATAATCCTCCTAGAACGCTGGGGAAGATGGGTATCACTGTACTTCAGTCTGTTACTGAGGCTTAGGGAAATTCAATTTCTTGGTAAAGGGTCACATCCTGTATGTGAGGCAAAGAATTTGCCGATTAGGCCATCACACTGCCCCTCACCACATAGCTTTGCACTACCTACCACTTAGCGATTCCACCATTTTAACCACCTTCTCTTTTGAAATGCAAATAACCTGCAAAGAATAAAACCTGACATTGGACAATTTAGTGCCAGCTGTTAGGATCACATCACCAGCTCAGTACTGTATCAGTCAGCTCAAGTAACGGAATACCGTAACAAAGTGCCATCGACTGGGTGGCTTAAGCAACAGACATTTAGTTTCTCGTAGTTCTGGAGCCTGGAAGTTTGAGATCAGGGCACCAGAATGGTCGGCTTCTGGTGAGAGCTCTCTGCCTGGCTTGTGACAGCTGCTACTGTGTCCTCACATGGTGGAGAGAGTGAGAGAGAGTGAGATCTTTGTGTCTCCTCTTTCTTTTTTTAGAGGTGGGGAGGGGGAGAGAGAGAGAGAGAAAGAGAATCCCACGCAGGCTCTGTGCCCAGTGCAGAGCCCAATGCAGAGCTTGATCTCATAATCACGAGACTGTGTCCTGCGCCGAAATCAAGAGTCGGAGGCTTAACTGACTGAGCCACCGAGGCGCCTCTGTTGTCTCTTCTTATAAGGGTACTAATCTTATCATGAGGGCCCCAGTCTCATGACTGCCTCTAAATGTAAATACCTCCCAAGGGCTCCGTTGCCGAATACCGTGACTTTGATGGTTAGGGCTTCAACATACGAATTTTGAGGGGACACAATTCAGTGGACAGCAAGTACCAAGCCCCTCTCTCAGACACAGGAGGACTTGGGGCTGCTTAGTCTATTCCAGTACCGCCTGCTTCAGACATTTCTTAAGTGAATACTAAAGTCCTATGGTTTAAACAACTGTGAGTAAGGAGCGCTGTAATGTGAGACAGTGAACACTCCCAGTTGCAACTGTTATTGACACTGATGCCTGGAGACATCCATGGCTGGGGGAGGGCAGAAACCCCTTCTAGTGCCCCAAGTCAGCCAGC